AAGTCTAAGCCTCTCTGAAGAAATGGTATAGAATGATGTCTGCATTTCCTGCCCATTCTGAGTGTCACACCTGTAATAGTAATATATTATACATTTTGAACAAAGTGTATCACTGTTCTCTGAAATATGCTGCTATATTAATACCTAAATATAAAGTATTGTAAAAAAAAAAAAAAACGGGACTGTGGGAGATCAGTGTGATCCACTAGAGGGGTAGGGAGTAGGAGGAGAGAACAGCGATGGGATGATACAAGGTTTCACATATTGGTGACAGTTGTCTTTTAGGGTGGGAATTCCCTGCATCCCTTTGCCAAATGCACCCCAGGCAATTCAGTGTCACTGGAATGACTAGAATCTGTCTTTAACTTCCTCTACATCCTAAGTGTCTGCTTTTATCACTCTGATTTACAGTTTGCCTCAGCTCCTCTATTTTTAGTTGGGATTTATGGGCCTGCCAAGCTCTAAAACAATACGTGCAAGACACTTAACCATTGGGCAGTTGGATTGCTGTGCACCAGGGTTCCAGCCTACCTCTCTAGCACCATCTCTAGCCTCATACCTTCCCGTATCTGTCTTTACTTGTGACATTTCCTTTGCTTAGCCCATCTGTCCCTCCCTCTCTCTCCTGCCCATATGTCACCTCATCAGCAAAGTCTCCTCCAGGTTACAATGCCTTCTAGCCTTCAAAGTTGTTTTAGCCTTCACAAGTGCAACAGCATTCATCACCACCATCCCTGAAGTACAGTTAGGCCTGTGCTAGTTTCTCCAAGAGATGAGTGTTCTTGATGCCAAAGATTGTGCTTGCTTTTTATACTTGTGACTCCATAGCAGTTAGACTCTGAATGCATAATGACTTGAGCTGATGTGAGGCTGGAAAGGGAGAACATATAGGAGGGAGAACGTGGAGATGCATCAGAATGATGTGGATGCTGGGCAGTAGGAATCCGGGGCAGTGATAAAGAGTAGAATGCAGATTGCCACAGATTTATGCTTTTGAATGTGGATAATCTGATTGATTTTTTTAAATTTTTATTTATTTATTCATGAGAGACACACAAAGAAGCAGAGACATAGTCTGAGGGAAAAGCAGGCTCTCAGCAGGGAGCCTGATACAGGACTCCATCCCAGGACCCCAGGATCATGCCCTGAGCTGAAGGCAGACGCTCAACTGCTAGGGCACCAAGGTGTCCCTGATTGAGTTTAATTTTTACTTAAAATGTACCTAATCACTTATGTTTAGAATGGATACCATAAGTTACATCACATGGAAGCTTATTTAACCTCTGTGAGAAGGCAGCCCTGGATAGGTACCATGTACACTACTGTTTTAAACCATTGTTTAGTGTGTTCATTCCTCTAAATATCCTCATGAGGTAGGGGTGGGAATTCTACAGACAGGGGGATAGAGGGCATAGTCACACAGCAATTAGGTGCTGAATCACATGCCATGGTCATGTTACTAAAACAATAGTGTTTTGGCTCTGACATCACAGCACCTGCTCTGTTATCATACAGTCACAGGGCCCAGTCTGCCTGATGGAGAAACCCCAGTCACAGCTGTGAGAAGTCCTTGGGAGAGGTTAATCCAGGGCATGTGTGATCAGAAGAGCACACCTGTCATCTTATGCTCATCATCATTATCTGTCCATATCTGTCCCCCTCTGTTCCTAATGTGACCACGTTTCCCAAATTCTTATCACTTGTGCCCAGTTCTTAAAGTAAATCAGCTTTGCTTTCTCCTTTCTGGTACAATCTTTTTATGCAAAGTTTTTATATGCATTTTATTTTTTAAAGATTATATTTATTTATTTGAAAGAGAGGCACGTGCACACGAGTGGAGAAGGGGCAGAGGGAGAGGGAGAAGCAGACTCCCTACCGAACAGGGACCCAACACAGGACTCGATCCCAGGACCCTGAGATCATGACATGAGCCACCCAGGTGCCCCAAAGTTTCTGTACATATTTTAAATTGAGGAGTTCTTTCTTTTATACAGTAGCAATTTGATGATTGTTTTTTAATGATTGGGCTTTTTATTAGTCTTTGCAGTAATTTTTCCCAATTCATGGAAGACTTTGTGTCTGATTTCCCTATCCCTGTAGCTCACTTGTGGAAGCCATGCAGGCCAGCTGAATTATGAGATACTGCCGATCACTCCAGTTCCTGCTGTTCAGTGACGATGTAGTCAGTAATGGAATCGCCCTCAGGGTTTAGTTGCTCCTGTTTTCCTTGAGGCCAGTGTAGTGAACTTGAACTTTCTGCCCTCTCCCAATGCAACAGAAGTCAGCTGCTTTAAATTCATTTTCTATCCCCTAACCTGCCTACACCCAATCTTTGTTTTAATCTGGTGAATTAATGCTTGCTAGGGACTGGGCATATCAACCATTTCTCCATTGATCGTCTTTGATAAGTCATTTCTGTCTACTGCATCATCCTCTCTGGACACTGCTCTTTGTATGTACTGTGTGAGTCATTGTGGGCCATGAGCACTGTCCTCCCTATAATTCAAACCTGCTCTGCTTCCAACACAAGAAACTCTACTTGAGCTGAAGAAGCTAGCTTCATTAATGTGCTTCACTTCCCTTTCATTGTTTTTGGTGGTTTGTAGTTTTTGCAGATAGCTCAGTGAGTCTTTGGATATTGGTGGCCAGACATTAGGTGTGGAGAGCCTTTTTTCAAGGGTCTTTTGAACTCTATCAGCATTGGCTGGGTGCAGGGATGCTAAGCTTCCTTCAGACTATTGCCAAGAGGCCTCATTCTACATTTACTGACCTCCTTGTGACAGAGGAAGTTGACCCTCCTTGGTTTCCCAGAGAACATTGATTACCAAATACCACTACCAACTCAGTGCCCTTCATGGAGATGTCCCCATTGGTACTGTTTCCTCTTCCTCACTGAAAACTGGTTTGATTTTTGAAAACTTCTTTCCAGATCTACTCTTGTGTACCTTGTATGAATGCAGAGTAATGGAAGGCAGAAAGCCAATCACCAGTCTTATAAGTAACATTAATAACTAACCAGTTTAGGCAAATATTTGCCATTATTATTTTCATATTGTAAAGTATTGCCAGTTGTCAGTCTTTATTGTAAATACTGAAGGAACCAAGAGCCCAGATGGACAAGCTACTTCCCTCTCTGCAGACCACCATCTCCACCAGCCAGCCACCTGTCTGCCAGGAATCAGAGAGGAGGGAAAAATTCAAGAAAGGGAAGCTGTGAGAAGTAGCAAAAACTCAAAGTAGGAAACCTCCATTTGAGAAAGCCTCGAGAGTCTTTCAGATGCCCAATGGATGTTATAGTCTAATGGAGAGATTAAAAATAAGTAAATAAAACAGTTGTTTATGAGCCTGGTGTATGTTTTGATATCATGAAACAAGGGGATGTGACCAGCCATTTAGAGACAGTAGTCAGAGGAGGCTACATGCCTCTCTGAGGGGGTTACATTTAAGTTGAGGCCTGTAAAAAGCCAATCAAATGAGCCACCTGATTAACAAAAGCAGGAAGAGCCAAGGACAGGAGGGTTTCAGGCACAGGCACCACCAAGTACAGAGACATTAGAAGATATGGCCTCCTCCCAAGCCAAATTAGGTCCTCAGGACACTGCTGACCTCGGCTTTCACCACTTCTTGTTTACCAAAGATAGCTATTAAACAAAAGAAAGCCTTTTCCCACAAGGCCTGAGGACAGCTGTTCCCAGCATCTCTCTCTATCTACCTGCTTGGCATGGGGGGATTTTTATCTGGAGGGGATTCTTGGGTGCCAGGCTCCTTAAGGATCAAAAGACTGAGAAACAGACCCACAATGAATTTATATAATCTCATGACTAAAATTCAAGAAGATCCCCTTCAGCTTCTTTAATCTCATACCTATTAGCTTTCTCTAAAGGAGCAGCTATTCTGAGGGTGGCCTGGCTGGTAACTAAACTGAGGGATTGGGAGAGATTCCTTGTCCCATCCGGCAAGTACACTATTCATTGATTAGGTGATATCCTATGGTAAATTTGCTAGGCTTCAGCGTTCTTCCATGAACTGGGCAGAACCAGATGAGAGACACCATCAGGTAGCCCCCACTGGCAGGCCAGGCTGCAAGCAGGACAGTGTTGGGTTGGCGATCGAGGAGCAGACACCAGCACTGTTTAATCTCGGATGGTCAGTGAGAAAAATTCACGGTGTCAGAAGTCAGAGGACAGGGAGAGTCTCGCCTCTTAGCTACGAAATTAGAAACAATTTTAAAAAATGCCACAGAATTTTATCAATCTGTTCGCTGATAGCTCTGCAAGTAGGATGTGAAACATTTAGAGGTTGTTAAAGGTCTTTGCAAATGTCATCAACTCATTGTCTTGTAGAATAAGAGTCATCTGAGACTAATAAATAAGTAAACTCAGAGCAGCATCTGGGGGAAGTTATAGGAGGGAAGAGGAAATTGCCTATTAAGGAATTTCTATATGTTTTGGGGATCCAGGAAGGGGACAGGAACAGGAAAGTACAATGACAGGTGGGCAGATCGCATGGTAATTCGGGACATGGAGTCAGATTACTTGGGTTCAGATCTCAGCTGCACAACTTGTTTCTTGTGTGGTCTTAGGTGGCTTATTTAATCTTAGCATCGGTCTCCTTATCAGGGAAATAAGAACAATCATCACATTTATTAACAGTATTAACCTAGATCATTTACCCACCATGCGTAGCGCTGAGCCATGTTATTGGGTAGACCACCTCGAGTTGCTGAGGAATGCTGTCTCTGGCCAGTCTTGCAGTGGCCCTTCTCTGGAGGAAGAGGGTAGGTCCCTTTATTATAGTATTAGTCTCTATTTTATTGGGCAGTGTGCAGCCACTCGTTAGAGAGCAGTGAGTGGCATGGGAAGAAACATGAGATAAAGCAAAGAGCAAAGGAGTCATAAAAACAGGGCTGCACAAATGGTATGTGAAACCATATCTCTGTTTATTTCTACACTTTTAACCCCTTCTCTTTCCCTTCCTCCCCCACATCCTGGTTGCTAAAGGTTTTGCTCTGCATAACCTACACCCCAACATTTGACCTGAATGGGAGCGCAGTACTGAAGATTGCCGAGGTGAGTGCCCGCTTTCACCCGCCTCCGCCCCCTCCCTGCCCTCGAGTGCTGCTTGTTTGGTGCCTGCTGGCAGCTGCCTGCCCCAAGCTGGGAGAAGTCCCTGCTGGAGTTGAGGTCCAGCAGCCAGCAGTAGGGTAAACCCTTCTCTGATCATTACCTTAGGGAGTTTCCACTAAGGAAATGATCTGTAGGAAGCAGGCTGTGGACTCCATCAGCCTTGGTCATTATGCTCTGCATGCTTTGGTTTGCTTCATTTGAGGTTTTAAAATGGAAATAACAGTACTGGTTCTCCCCACACTACTACACCTCAGTGTTGCATCTCGTTTTGCTTTCTGAATCTGTTTTTCTTAAGAATAATTTAAAAGCATTTGATTTTTTAAAAAAATGGTTTTTAAGAAACCAGGTAGGAGAGTGAGAGAGAAATTTACTGATGAAATTCCAGGCTCTCCACCTAAAGCCCGATGAACACATTTTGTAACACTCGTTGGAAAGCCTTCTCTTTCCCATCTGTGTTGCAGGCTAGGGAACTGTGCACCTTCCAGAACTCCTAAGAGTATGTCCAACAGAATTCTTGGCTTCTCGAGTGCCTGGCAGATGCCTGTGGCTTTTGGAAACGTCAGCATTCCAAAGCTATACTTTAATACTCTTAGAATAATTTTCTTTCCATTTCTTGAAAAGAGTATCTTCAGAATTCATGTGTTTTGACAAGAGTACATGTGTAGACCTCAAACGGGCAATGATATTCTGAATTCTGAAATTATGAAGAAAAAAGAAAGCTTAATAATCAGTGCTCATGGATATCTATCTATCTATCTATCTATCTATCTATCTATCTATCTATTTTACAGTAATGATCACCATTCCTTGAATATACCAGGTAGATACTTAGTGTCTTGAACATGTTTTCTTTTTTCTTTTTCTAATTATTGAGGTATAATAGACAAAAATTCTACATATTCTAAATCTACAACTCCATGTTTTGATATATATACACATTGTGGAATAACTACCACAATGAAACTAATTAAAACATCCCTCAACTCATATAGTTAGCATTATCATGAGTAGTATTTATATTGGCCTATACCTGTGCTTTTTATGGTGTTGTGTGGCATTAAAGAGTGAAAATTAAGAGAAAATTATTTTTGAGCACATTGAACATTTTTATGTGTCTGTGAAAAGAACAAAAAGCAATTAGCTGACCTCTCACTACAATGTAAATTCCCAAATGTGTATTTATATAGGTAGAAAGAACACTTGTCTTTAACATATTTATATGTTTTACTCCATATAGGTAAAGAAATAGAATATTTTTTCAGTTGATTTTTAAGGGACACCTATGAATGTTCTCATTATTTTCATATTCCCTTTTTTGTGTGTAGGTGGTAAGAACATTTAACATGAAATCTACCTTCTAAGTGTAGGATATGGTAGTATTAACTACAGGCACTGTGTTGCTCAGATGTCTAGAACTAAACTTTATACCCATTGAATAGTAACTTCCCATCCCCCCTTCCCTTCAGCCCCTGGCAATTACCAACCTAGTCTCTGTAGGATTTTGACTATTTAAGTACCCCATATCAGTTTTCTTTTAAAATGACAAGTGTAATTTCTGGTTACAGCAAGAAAGCATAGTGGCCTGTTAGCCCTTTGGCATGTGAAGGATGAGAAGGGAAATGCAGCTGTTCCTGCCTAGCCAATCTCCCTGCTGATGGAGCTGAGGACTGTGGTGGAGGGGGGTGGATGGATAACAGGTTGTTCCAGGACCTTCTGGGGGGTGGAGGGGAAGTGCTGCCAGAGTTCCAAGCTACCTTCCAGAGGAGGAGGAGGAGGCTGCCTTTACCATCCTCACAGAAACCAGTTTTCGAATGAGAATCTGAGAGATTCAAGATGTCATCCCTGAAGAGTGGACACACATGGCCGTGAACCTCCCAAGTTAAGGCTGTTTACTGAAGGTATCTAGAAATCAGAGTAAAGACTCAGCAGGCCTTTTCAGGTAGAATAAAACATCAAAACATAGTGGTCTACCAAAACCTGTAAAGGAAAACCAAGTGGTTTTTTTTTTTTGTTTTTTGTTTTTTGTTTTTGTCCTTTGGAAAAAAAAACAGAAAGATCTCAGCTCCAAAGCAACATAAAGATAAAGGCGCTCTGGCTTCGTGGCAAGAAGCCCTGGCTCGGGAGTAGCACTGTTTGGATGTAAACCCCAGCTCTGCTGCCTCCACCCACCTGTGGTGTTCTTGGCTACCTCCCTGGGCCTAGCGTCTGTTCTCTGCTGAAGCCACAGTGGTAGTGTGGTTGTACCATTTGGACAAGGAAGGTAGAATCCACGGAAGAAGCTGTTAGTGCGGATCTAGCCACACAGTAAGCCCTTGCTGCTGCCTTGGGGGAGTGGCAGGTCCATCACGATGTCCCCTGGATAACGCTTTTCTGGCCAGGACCCTGGCAGGATGGGGCATCCAGCGAAGCTTCCTGAGAGAACAGTAACTCGTTCACGAGCTCTCCAGCTCTTCATGTCCTGCTGTGGCCCTCTGCAATCCCTCAGTTGGGGAAGCGTCCCCCATGCGATAGGAGCATGAAGGTAGTGAAGCCGGGGTCAAACCATCATGGAAACGTGTGTTGCTTCCAACGCTGGCTTGAACTTTATAGTCCATGAAAAAAGCTTGAGATGACATTCCCTTGAAGGAAGGACTTGATGAAAATCTAGAAAATAAATATCTCATTGTGTATTTGATGGTGGGGCCTTCCACTGGAGCCTGCAGGCCCACTGATGAGGTTCTCGGCCCTTCCCCTCCGGCAGGCCCACAAACACACTCTTCCACTGCCCCGTTCACAGCAGGACGTGATTTCGTCTGCAGTTCTCCTGCTCCTCACTCCATCTGACATTCTGCTCTGGTCACTGGACATGTTGGAACACTCCCCAGCGTAGCAGGACTGTGGAGACTGCTTGGTCACAGGTGTGAGAATCACCATCTCAGCGTGCCTTTGGTAAATGGCAGCATGCAGAATTGCCCCCCTGGGCCTAGACAGCAGCTTCAAGAGAGTAAGACTCCAGCTCTTTTGTCTGGCTGGTCCATGGGAAGGACATTCCCAAGGCAGTCTGATGACAGAGGCCGAGTGATCCCCGAGCATGACAAGCACCACAGATGCTAGGGCCAGAGCTTCACACTCTGCTGCACTGCTCAAAAAGCCAACAACAGACACACCCTGGAGAGTGCTCCTGCTGCTGAGAAGAATAGTGGACATTTATCCTGCAACCCATCAGATTTCTATGAGGTATAAGTTCCATTTCCAGGCCCTCCCATGGCCATTCTCTCCGAGCTGGTAATTCTGAGGAGGCATGACAATATATCCTGTCACTTGTTATGGTGAGAGACAAGTACATAAACTCAAAGACAATAATGTATAGCTGTCCCTCATATTTATTTAGCACTTACTCTGTGCCAGTCACTGTTTTAAGAGCTTTACCTATAGTAAATCTTATAATCCACACAATACCATGAAGCAGTATTATCCATATCTGACAGATAAGACAACTGACACATAGAGGCTCACCAACTTCCCAAAAGTCAGAGAGCTCAAAAGTAGTGGACATGGGATGCAAGACCAGTGGCTGTGACTGAGCTTCTACTCTTCGCACTGTGTTGCACATGCTGTCACCACCTTGGTTGCAGAAGGCCCACCTCATGGGGGCTCTTATGATCTCCTCTGTAAATAGTGGAACCATCAAAGAGGCTTCCCCCAGCTTCATCCCAAACCATGTTCAGGAAACAATACCATACAGATCCAGTGTTGGAGTTAAACTAATCCTGCCTTTTGTCTTTAAAACATGTCTTTTGATTAAGAGTAATATATATATATGTATATGTATATATATATATATGTATATATATATGAGTATAATATATATCAGTTGACTACTAACGGTGATCAAAAATCAGAACAAGGGGCAGGGTTAGGTTCCTATATAAGGCTGGCCATTTTCAGTAGTTACTTGATTAGGTTTTGGCTTTTTCCTCTTTATATTCCTGAAACTGTTATCTATGGGAGACTTACAGTCACCAAGCTCTGGAGGCCTTACTTTTACATTGGTGGTTCTCATCAAATGGCTGCACATTAGAATCACCTGGGAAGTATTAATGAAAAGAAGATGCCTACGGATGCCCCAGAAATTCTGAGTTTTTTGGTCTTGGGGGATCCTAAGCATTCACATTTTGTAAAAGTTCTCCAGCGATCCTGCTTTAGAAGCCAAGTTGACAACAACTACTCTGATGACTACTCTTCTCTCCTACCAACCTTTGCTGTAAAACCATGTCAGAATGAGCCATGGTACTCTAAAACCTCAGACTGTGGTCCACTAACCAGATGCATCAGCAGCACTTGGGAGCTTATTAGAGATGCAGAACCTCAGGCTTCACCCCCAGACCCATGAGTAAAAGTCTGTTTTCTAATTAGAGCCCCCTTGTCATGGCCTATGACATGGGCCTATCCAAGTTTAAGAATCAGTGTCACATGTGTCAGCATACTCTCATTTTAAATGATCCAAAACCCAGGCAAGAGCTGCCTCCGTCCCCAAAAATGGCAGCCTACCAGCAGCATCCCCTCTATGGTGACCCCTCGGTAAGTGCAGGCTTTTGATTCTCCTATCCCTCTCGCTCGTCCTTCATCTCCTGGAAGATCACCTCTACACTTTTCCCTTCCCATTTGTCAGTGCTTCCCATGTATCAGGTGTATTTCTTATGCTTTAACTGTCTAATCTGCTACAGAGCTGTCTACTGTTCCTTCTGAAGCCATAGGCCCACTGTCAGCCTTTAAAAAGGGGGAGAATGCCTCTACCCCATTCTGTAATTATGTAATCTGGCACAGGATGAGCAGATCTATTTATATGAAAAGCATAGCAACAATTTATAAATATAAGCATATGGATCAGTAGTTGCAAATACTAGATTATTAGATGAATAATGTATAGACAATTTAAGAAAGAATAATAGTAGAACCATCTGAAATCATTATTTACATTAGCTACACAAGAGAGGAATAAACATTTTTCTCACTGGCCTTTATGGTTCCTCAAATTTGCAAAACAGCTCAGAGCCTCTCAGTTCTCACCAGAGAAGTCACTTAAATTAATTTTCAATGGTTGGTGGCAGGCAAAATAAAACCCTCTCCCTGTAAGGACATCCATATTCTAACCCCTGGAAACTGAATATATTAGATTATATGGCAAAGGGGAATGAACTTTGCAGATGGAATTAAGACTGTTACTCAGCTTTAAGTAAGACTGTTTTTTTTTTTTAAGTAAAACTGTTGATCTTAAGATAGCATCAACGAAAAGAACTATGTAAGAAAGTTATGCTGCCACAAAAAAAGTTATTCTGTAGACTTAAGCGCAGTGATTTTGTAGATTTTCAGGTGCTTCTCACCTGCTCATTTAGCCTTTGAAAATCTGCATCTTGGCTTTGAAAGCAGGACATTCTAGCCTAAAACTAGTGCTTCGCTCCTAGAAGTTTTCTTACTTGTATCTGGACTTTTCATAAAAATAAGTAACTTAACGAAAAAAAAAGTTCTATTGTCACTTTTGCTATAGCTTGGGAAACTATTTAAAAAACACCTTAAAATCAATTATTTAAAACTCCTGTGGAAATGTTGAGAAAGAATCCAGACATTCTCTTCTTTCTTACCCTGATGCACATTGACTTTTACTCAAGAACAGTGTTTACCCTGAAACCTGTTGATCAGGAAATGGGGATGTGTACTTAACTATGAAAAAATGAGCCTATTTCCCCAAGGCACTGTTGAAACTGTAAGAGGATCATTAAACACGTAAAATGTAAATAAAGCCTTTATTTGTATGTCTATCTTTAACTTGTTTAATTAAATTGTAATAAGGAAAGTTTTTCAGAACATAGTTTTCCATGATATAGGAGGAATAAGAAAATCATCAAATTTAGAAATGGATCATTATGAAATATGTAATATGTGTTTTCTGTTCAATTTCATGAATAATCAGAAATAAAAACTCTCTATGGATACATAATACTTCTCTTAATTGGTTGAAAACTAGACCAAGGTTTCTCTTAGTATGAGGCCCAATTTAGCAGATCTGCTGTTGAGTTTTCCAAGAGTAGTTACTTTAATATTGGAAAAAGCTGTAGGAATAAAAATTGCCAAGGACTTTGGATAAAGGAAGAAGAGAAGCCAGAGCTAGAAGGTCTGTAGAGCGAATTTGAAAATGGTTAATGTTTCATTGGAAAAATTCAGGGTATATTCTCATGCCTGCTCTAGGCTCCTCTGTGGGATTTTTCAAAATGAAAAAGCCTTGTTGATCAATGTGTATTTGTTGGTTTCCTTATTGACTTATGGGAAACTTCCAGTCTTTGATCTTGTTAAGTTCAAGCAAAGTCTATCTCAAAGACCATTTTTTTTTCTTTAAGATTCTTAGTTTTAGGGTCCTGCCTCTTTGACTCCATCTATCCATCTATCCTTCAGTTGTAAAACACTGGTTAATAATAATAACCAACTAATAATAATGGTAGCTGCTAGCCACTGTGTCCCTAGGGTATGTCAATAAGTAGTGTCTTTTTTTTTTTTTTTGTACATTCTCCTCTCATCTTTCCCACAACAAAGACAGATAAAGAATCCCAAGAAAAGTGAGGATAATTTGCTTGTCCAAGTTTCTACAGTGAGACATTCAAATTCAGACTTTTTATATTTCAAATATGGGCTGTTAACCACTATGGTATATTGCTTCCTTGCTCTCAGCCTTTAAAAATGTTGGTAGGATCCTGCCATCATAATATTGGCAACCAACTGAAATTCTTAGGAGTCTTATCCACCTTGGCTTTTTACCACAATGCCTAGTTAGAAAATGGCTGTATGGTGTTTTCACATATGAAGCAGCAGTATTGGTGAATTTTACGTTTTTTGTGACCATAGATTCAAGTGACTGTTAGGTTTATGCCTCTTTCTTGGGTATCTTTATATATCGATACTCAGTTTATATTTTATGAGCATTATACTAGCATCAGATGATCTAATGTTTTTATGTTTCTAGTTTTATTTAGTATCACTTGTTACCAAAGGGAATTTAAAACCATGAAGGCTGAAGACCTGCTGCCAAATATTCCAATTCCAAGCCAAATGATTCTAGTTGTCACTAAAGGATTTTTTTAATTGGGCTGACTGCTAACTCCTGAGTGTCCAATGATTTCTTCTCTCTTTTTTTTTTATTAAATGTAATAGCATTATTCCTGAGACATACAGCAAATAAAATATTCTCTATAATTAAGGAGCAGATTAGTCTGCAGATAAAATCCAGAAGAAAATGCATAGGTGACCCGGTCAGTTTTTCTTGGAAGCATCTTGTTGGTTATGTTCTCTCTAAAACTGGGAGTAACCCCACCTCCTGGCAAGAAAATTGGTCAAAGGAGCCCAGATTATTGTCTCAAATTGGCTGAGGCCTATGAAGTAAGGAAATCCTGTTCTAAGGAGTGTCTCCACTTTTCCTTCTGGAAACACTTTCTTTCTTCCTTGTGGGCCTGTTTCTTTACTGACCCTGATTTGATTCCTTTGAGGTGTCTGTTCTTTGGTTATTTGCTGCCGGGTAGGCTTTGAGCAAACTAGTCCTTTTGCAAAGACTTTCCACCTTTCTCTGGAATGTCTGACTTACATAGCTCTTGAAGAATTTATTTGGAGTTAGAAGACATGGAGAGCAGTGCAGAGATCCTCTCTACTTCATTTTGGGCTGCTTCACAGGGCAAAGGGTAAAGTTCAATAGACCTTCTGTAGACTAAGGTGCAGGAATTAAAGGGTTGAGGCCTCTTAAGGCCATTTTAATAAGCCAGCTTAAGCCAAGAAGAATATGAAGAGGAGGAGAGAAGTCACAATCAGAGTTGTCCATGTATGCTTGGACACCTTAAACATTTCTAAAAGGAAAACCAACAAATTTCCCAACCTAGCATGATAGTCAGACTTACTTACACACGTTTCTTAGGAATAATAAAATAACTTCAATTCACTCTGTATGTGTGTGCACGCAACCAGCAGGAACCATATGATGAGGTGCCCTCTGTCACATACCCACCTGTTACAGCAGTTCACCTAGAAATGGCTTGGCCACTGAATTGTCATGATTCAATGTAAGGTTTAGGTTTGTAGTAACAATCAAAATTGGTTTTGGTTCTAATGTGATCAACAAGCTTTCATCATATTCCCTATATAAAAAGACATTTCTTCTGCTTCTTGTAGCTTAATCTTTGATCTCCTGTTTTTTATCACCATAAATTATTTTTCATCTCCATAAAGATTTTCCAGTTGAAAACATATAGCTCTTCTGTTTATGGAACTTGTTAGTGCTCAGTATCATGCACTGTTTTAACAAAACTGTGCCACCAGCCCTGTTCAGATAGGAAAGAGAAGGCAAATGCACGGTTCAACAAAGTGAACATCATATCCACTTTGCAAAGATAAACAAATTTCTTTTGTGGCAGCCGCTTTAAAATTTGTTATCACTTTGGCCAATGTTATATGTCTATGACATTCTACTATGCTGCTTCATACTTAATAATGATTCTACCCCGGTGATTAATAATAATGATTCTTAACCTCGTACTGTTATTTATTGGTCTCCTTACTTGTTGATACTACTGACTGTTGTTGCTTGTGTATGGCTTGCAGACTTGTGTTTTCTTGTTCTTTTTCCTTCTGCCTTTTGGATTTGTTTTGCTTCATTAACTCTTTGTGGTTTTGCCCTCAGCTGTGTCTAGCATGCCATAAAGCTGGACGTCCAGAAATGCATGAAATGGTCAAAATGTCCATTACGAAACTCCTCACTGCCCTGTGTCTTCGTGCGTTCTCTGGAGATCAGGGGCCTGGGGCTTTTCACAAGGTATTTGACTTGGCCCTTTGAGCCTCTGGCAGGTACAGAACTGGGACTTTTAAGTGTCAGTTCTGCTCTACGAAAGCAAAGGGCATAGGGAGGTAGAAGTGCCATTGGAAGTACTGCAAGAAGAAACTGAGGAGCCTCTTCCCAGAAACTCAGCCTGCCTTTGGACTTGGTATTCTCTTACCTTCTCTGATTCACTGTGCTCATGTTAGCACTGCTCCAAGATAGAGGCAGAAAAACATTTATGAAGTGAAAAATCACTGGCCTAGAACACAGTGGTCAGGTTTATCATGGAAAACCTAGCTCGAGGACCCTTACTGGTTTACCAGTTTATTATTATTATAGCAAGTAGGAGAAACTTTTTGTTAGGATATGTCAAGATAGCTGATACAGCATTTCTTTCTGTGAACTTAAAAATAGTGATATTATCAGGTATGTGGTCATTTTTATATTTAAAAGGATACCCTTTTGGGGGATCCCTGGGTGGCTTAGCAGTTTAGCAGCTGCCTTTGGCCCAGGGCATGATCCTGGAGTCCCAGGATCGAGTCCCACATTGGACTCCCTGAATGGAGCCTGCTTCTCCCTCTGCCTGTGTCTCTGCCTCTGTGTGTGTGTGTGTGTGTGTGTGTGTGTGTTTCATGAATAAATAAATAAAATCTTTTTAAAAAAGGATACCCTTTTATCACAATATTTACACATCCAGCTTTAGCAGAATGAGCTTCTTAGATTAACACTCTTTTTTAAAAAAAAGAGTTTATTTATTTATTCATGAGAGGCACATAGGCAGAGGGAGAAGCAGGCTCCCTGCAGGGAGCCCGATGCAGGACCCCTGGATCATGACCTGAGCCAAAGGCAGACACTTAACCACTGAGCCACCCAGGTGCCCCATTTTTTTAAGTAGGCTCTACACCCAGCACAGAGCCCAACTTGGAACTTGAACTCATAACTCTGAGATCAAGACCTGAGCTGAGATCAACAGCTCGGTACTTAACCAACTGAGCTACCCAGGCACCCCAGATTAATACCTGTTTTTTAGGGTTTCCTTTCCCTTTTTTAAAAATTTAAATTCAGTTTGTCAACATATAGTATAACACTCAGTGCTCATCCCATCAAGTGTCCTCCTTAGCGCCTGTCTCCCAGTTACCCCATCCCTCCACCTACCTCCCCTTTGGCAACCCTTTGTTTGTTTCCCAGACTTGGGAGTCTCTCATGGTTTGTCTTCCTCTATAATTTTTCCTCACTCAGTTTTAAAAACAGAGTAAGCATGCAATGATTCACTCCAAGTGTTGTACACCTGGTAGAGGCAACTGAACAAAAGAGGTAGTGGTGACATTAAAACTCAAAGAAACACATTTGGTATTTAGGAAGTTCTTGCCCATATACTGAACTGTATGTATTACATAAACTCTAGTTCCTCGTCCATGCTTTCTTTCATGGGTCCAAAGGGACCGATAAAATTTTTGAAGGGAGGTTGTATAGCTCCTATAGCTCTCCGTACGTAAAAGAATCATGCTTATATTGAGCATGAGTTCAGCTTTCAAAATAGCTACTCTTTCATCTTTAATACTTCTAAAGCTTCAAAATCCCCCTTAAATTTATTTTAGTGCTCAGAGATCTTAAAGATCAGCAGCTATAAAGGCTTCTGGAGAGTATGTAGGATTTAAAGAAAACTGTTAAATTTTGAGGCACGAATAGTCCTGCTGTGCCTAATTACACTACGGAGAATTTGTTGCATCAAAATGAAACCCTGTACTCATTTGGATTTATTTCCTGGGTTTGTGCATCATTTCATGACATGCCAAGTATAAGCCTTCCAAGATTAAGACACTTTTTTTTCTAAGTATGTATAATTTGTGGCTTCAGCTACATTATAATCCATCATCATTGGAGAAAATGAATTCAAAACTTACATGCCCTTCAATGGTAATTAGAAAAATAAATATTTTGGAATTTTCTTTTTTACATAAAAATGAATTAATCTAAACCAACTTCCAATTAAATTTATGAGTTTTAAATGCTCACTTGGACTATTCAGCATCCAATAGGAGATAAATTAAACTGTTGGAAAATATTTACTTTTTTCATCATTAATTTTACCAAAAAGGTTATGACAAGCCTGACAAGAAGTTCCAGTGTAGACAGTAGTGGCAACAAAGGTTAACACTTAGGATCTCTCCCATCTCACTTCTCATCCATCAAATTAAATTTGTCATTGAGGTGAGAACACTTTATTTTTATCGTAGATAAACTCAGAGTTATTCCTAGAAAAATAATTTCAGTACATTAAATCCCTTCTTTTTCTTTTTGTGGGTCTAAATATAGTTAGCAAACAGGAAAGGATGGCCTACCTTATAGAGGGAAAATGCAGTAAATTTAAAGGGCACATTTGTTGTTATGCCCATCTCCATTGTTTCCAGAAGAATTAAGAGACAGTAAAATCTAAAGAGTCCCAACATTAAACATCATCAAAGGAGGGTTGGGCTTGATTTTTTTGGTTTGTTTTGGTTTTGTTTTTTCCCAAATTGGGATTTCTCCATGCTGCAGTCATCGGGGAGTCCTCTCAGGTCCAACCTGATATTCAGACTTGCAAGACCCCAATAGGCCACAAGTGGCATTACATCTGCTCAGCAGATACATGACAGGGAAGAGAGGCAGGGCCCTGGCAGGCATTTCTCTGTCACAGGAAGGATTCCCTGCCTCTGAGCGGTTCAGAGCCAGTCTGTGGCTCTCAAATGCCAGCCTCAGAGCAAGAAGATGAAAGCCACCCCGGTGGGTGCAGTCACCTTGGCTGCCGAGCCTCCATGTTTCAACTGTGTTAAGGAAGTGGAATGTCCTTAACGAGTCTGTGAACAGAACTGGCAGACGTCCCTCAGAGGATGTGAGCAACAAGATGCGCCCAGAAAACCCAAACCTTAACTTCTCACCAGATTTTTAAAGTCCATCCACATTGTTCTCAATTTAGATGCAACTTAGAAATTGAGAGACACTTTCACTCTAAGCCATGCTGCTTGGTAACCCAGCCCATGGTCCACCTCTACCAGGATTCCAGAAGAGCACAGCCAGAGACTTACCCAAGATCGAGCTTGTTTATAGTGCAGGAGAAAGGGATTCAGTAACCCTTTCCCCATAACTCATAACTCAGGAGTGAGTAAATTCTGTTCCTGTTTGGCCATGGCAGGAGGTTTTCCTGATTAACTTCCAGCCCCCTGCAACTCCTCTCGGTAGAATTATTTGGCATATCTAAAAATCACTAATTTGCATTCTCCAGTGATGCTCTGGGTAAGTTCTAAGAGTGGTAATCTTTAGGAAAAGGTTACTTGCCTGGAGGCTTAAAAACAAATTTTCAAGATTTTAAATATTTCTAGTACTCATTGATAATTAGTCCTCAATCAGGCTGACTTTCTACTTCAGAGAGATTTATTATCCTCTCTGGTCAATTCCAAAGCATGTCGGTAACCAACTGATACCCACAGAGCGTGTATGTTGCTATCTTATTTCTTTACCAGGTGTGCATTGAGACTTACATATGTAGCTGTCACCAGCGTAGTATAAACACTGCTGTGCGGGCAACTCTGAGTCAAATGCTGAGTGACTTGACTTTACAGTTACGACAAAGGCAGGAAAATACGGTGAGCAGCCTTGGCGGTATGTGTGTAACTGCATGCTGTGTGTCCCACATCCCAGCTCCCTCCCCCACTGCTGCCCAGGCTGTTTCCTACTGCAATAGTAGGAGGGGCTTGCTTGGTTTAGAAGAATGTTTATTTATACAAACTAAGCTCCTTAAATATATTTTTGCCTGTTTAAAGTTTTCAGAGTCCTTTTTCCTTATGGCTCCTATCATTTTCTAGTCATTATTTTGTGATTCACTTTTGTTTTTTAATCATTTTTTTTAACTCAGATTGAAAACTTTTACATAAAAAATATTGTGTTGACATATTAACTAATACTAGAAGTAAGTTCAAAATTAGGAAAAACTAACAGCAATTAATTACATGTTTGAGGTGTAGTGTGTGTTTTTCTTTGTTAACTAAAAGATTGTGCCAGTAGGTCTTCCCTCACGTGCTGGTGCCATAAGGGTGAAGCTCAGTTTGCCTTCTCTCTGTCATTGAAGGCTATTGGAGCTTATTGATCTAAATTTGAACAGATTGTCTAAAATGAGCGTTCCCGGGGAAAAATATAAATGTAATTGGCTTCTCATATATTTTATCTTTGGGGAGTGTTAGTGAAGAGATGATTCTTCTTTAAAATAGGTATGTGGGGTTTTTTTATCTGCTTCTGAATAATTCAGATTAAAATTCTTTTAAAATTTGCAAGAAGTATTCTGAAATGAACACTTTATTATTCTTTAAAATGGGAAATCTCAGTGGTAGTCTGAAATACGTCAGAAATTAACTTTATAGAAGTTAAGATCTCATTCAACTGAAATCATTTCTAATTTTTACCTTCAATTATCTTCTAATTTTTAGAGTTGAATGAAACCTTAGGGTTTACCTAGTCAAATTCTTTTACCCTTCATTTTACAGATGAGGAAGATGAAACGCAGAGAGGTGAAATTGAAATCTGAAATGCATGAGCTTATCAGTGAAAGAAAGAGCCAGAACTAAGCACCTGGGGTCCTAACCCCTGCTGTGACAGACAGGGTTGAAAAAGCAACACTAATCTGAAAAAGCAAATACTGATATATTTTTTTTAATGTTTGCTATGTCCACAGCCCAAGTTTCTATTAAAAAATTGTTTTGTCTTGAGATGCTATTTCCTTAGGTTACCCTTTGTTAAAAACTACTTCATTTAAACTAGCATTTTGAATATGGTAGCCTGGAAATAGTAGTTTAAAAGAAATTCAAATTATAAATAGAAATTATAAATAGAAATTCAAATTATAAATATATTATAAATTATAATACAGAAAAAAACACTTAAGAAAAAACATTAAAGCACATTGTAATAGAAATAAACCTTAAACGTTGAAAATCTTATATTAATCATGTACTCACACTTCATCCTTACTAAATGGCAACGTGATGAGGTAATATAATACTAATGGTATCTTCATGTTTTAACATGAAACACTTAAATGAAACTTTGTAGTATCAAAGTGATTTTTATTGTATCCCTTTGCTGAATCTTTTTAAAATTTTAAGTAGGAGAATATTAGGTTTCAAGTAAAATGACTCAGCCTTTTAGCTCACATTGCTCTTCCATGAGACAGGTAACAGGTAGAGAGCTATAGAGGTGTGGACCAAACCCAGAGTATGCAACTATTGATCACGGGGTTACAAGTTTGAGTCCCATGTTAGGTGTAGAGATTGGTTAAAAATAATATTAAAAAAAAAAAAAGAACTTAGAGGGTTGTCTGCCTCTGTGTGTGATACTATGTGTCTAATAAGCCCTCTGGTCCTGCTCATCACTGACCATCTGGACTTAACCCAGCCTGAGGCAAGATCCCAAATTAGGTGGAAAACTAGTATTTCCTGTCATTTCCTTTCTATTACTCATGCAGTCCCCAGAGATGCTTCCATGTCCCAGAAAAGTAATTCTCAGGATGCTAATATTTGAAGCATATGTGATATCTACTAGAGGGAGACATAAGTTTTGTCAGCTAAAAATGGTAATTTTTTAAAAAGCCTTTGAAGGGAAGTGGTCTATAGGAATGGTGAGTTTCATTAAAAGGAGATTGTGAGTTCTCTCATGGCGCACCTAGCATTACCTAGGAAAGATGTGTAATGTGTGGCATGACCCATCATGGGAAAGAAAGAATCATGAGCCATGTCACAATTAGGAAGACTTAAATACAATGGAAAGAAAATAAATCTAGAATGCAAAAACATTAACATGGAATGTACAGTTGATCTTTGAATAACACGAGTTTGAACTACATGAGACCACTAATATACAGATTTTCTCCATAAATACAGTAATATATTTTTTCTTCCTTATGGTTTTCTTAATAACACTTTCTTTTTTCTACCTTACCTTATGATAAGAATACAGAATATATTACATATAATGTATAAAATATGTGTTAATTGACTTGTTTATATTATTGGTAAGGTTTCTGGTCAACAATAGGCTCTTAGTAGTCATGTTTTAGGGGAGTCAAAAGTGACACACAGATTTTTGCGTATATGGGGTGATCAGTTCCCCCAACTCACACATTGTTCATGGGTCAACTGTATCATCAACCTAATGTCTACCCCTACTCCCAGGAGATTATGCAATTTGATTTTGTACCATCGGGATCTTGGAGTTATTATCAGACTTTATTATTGAATTATTTAGATGATGAAAGCTATTATTAGATTATAAGTTACTAATTTCAAAAAGCAAAAATGCCACACGTAAATACTTAGGGGGAAGGTGGTAGTGTTTCTCCTGTTCTCTAAATATGATTTAGATGTTTTTCCTCCAGAAAATGTTGTTCTACACTCTTACTTAGCCACTGCTGAGTTGTAGACATTGACGTAGGATTTCAGTGAATGCTATGGAAGCAACTGAGCTTGCAAATTGATGAACAGAGAATAATAAAAATATGCCCCTGTAACAAGTTTAAACAAGTTAAAACAGTGTCCTGGGATGATTTTTATGTCTGGTAGTTGATTAGAATGAAAATGCCCTCTTCTCTCCCAGTGCTCAGAGGTAGGGAGACCGAAGAACCTTTCTACAGACCTGTATTTTAAAGTTCAGGAACCTGATCCTTCTTATTACTAAGAATCTGTGTTTGTTAGGTGCCAGTCAAAGTGTTGTCTGTGACCTTGGGACAAACTATCTGTGCAAAGGTAACTCACCAGTTTACGCAGGGGTAGCTCCAAGCCCTAGCTAAGCACCCTGGAATCATACAGTGTGTAAAGGACTTAAACCTTTGTGAAGATTGCAAACTCTTGAATGAATATTTTAGGACCTGATGAGCTCAGTTCCAGACATCAGAGTCTTTTCCTAAATACCATGAGTAATGAAATTCTATCAAGACCTGGAGGGTGCACTTAGGAGAGTTAGGTGAGCCCAGAGCACTCAGAATGACATTTGTTTCCTAGAATTTTCCATTGTCTAAGAGTCCGGGATTTTTGTGCGCAAATCTTCTAATTGTCCTGTGGTGTGTCTCCCTTACTAGATCATTGAAAACCCGGATGTCCCACAGGAGTTCAGGAATCAAGGTATTGGATTTGATTTTTGCTAGTTCAATTTAAAAACCAGGTAGAAGGATGCATACTCTGTGCTTGGCGCTGGGGGTGAAAGGGGTGAGTAGGGGCTCCCAGGGAGCTCTCAGGACGTTCTGCTTAACTTTGGCTTCCCAGCTATTACTTCATCAGCTGGTTCTTAATCTTCCTTCTGGTCCTGCACTCTGCCAGCCCCACCGATTACCGTTCCAACTATGTGAAGGATAGCAACTCTTCATATACCTTCCTGTTGGAGGCTGGAGGTTTTTGTGGGTGGTATTATTATTATTATTATTATTATTATTATTATTATTATTTTGGTCATTGGTTTCCTTTGTTCTCCATGAAGCCAAGCTTATTAATTGTTAAAATGAGAATTAGATAGAGGGTTGTGGAAACCTGACTGACATTGAGCTACTAATACCACAAGTGTTTGTGAAATGCAACTTTTTTTTAATATAGAGAAATGAATCTCACAGGAAATCTGGCAGTAGGACAAACAGCTCAGTTTAAGTGGGAGATGAAATCAAGGTAAAGAATTTCATTCTGACCCAGAGGAAAAGGAAAAATAAAGGTCCACATATAATTGACAAGCAGTTTGTTTTTTGGTTTTGGGGGGGCTTTTTTGTTTTGTTTTGTTTTTTACTTCGGTAGTATTATTTTCTGAAAGAGATATGAAAAATTCAGACCATCTAATTTAAAAATTTTAAATATATTTCAGATTTTATTCAGTAATTTTTTAAACATTTTTTTAATTTCTTTTTTTTTTAAGATTTTATTTATTTATTAATGAGAGAGATGCAGAGACACAGGCAGAGGGAGAAGCAGGCTCCATGCAGGGAGCCCAATATGGGACTTGATCCTGGGACTCCAGGATCACGCTCTGCAGCCAAAGGCAGGCGTTAAACCACTGAGCCACCCATGGATCCCCTTTATTCAGTAATTTAAAAAATACTGGACAATCTGCTTTTCTTTGATAGTTTTGCATGTTAGTAATAAGAAAAGGTGGGGATGGGGGTGGTTATAGAAAGGATGGAAAGGAGAATGAAAGGGGAAAGAAAAGCAGCCAAACAGCCACAATTAGGAGAAACAGAATGAAGGAGAGAAATGAGGAACGTGTCAAGTCATCTCTGAAGGCATTGCTGGAGTGTGTAGTTTTGATGGCCCCTTGCTCCATTCTTGGGCTGCAGACTGGAACGTGTTTCAGCATCTTGCTACCTGTGGAAGCTCCCAGTGACAGGCTCCTTTGTCTTTTCCTCTCTTTGGCAATAGCAGTTGCATAAAACTTTCTCTCTGGTTTTATCAACCATAGAAGAGGTCCAAGTCCTCTTGGCCAGATATTTATTAAAATTTCTATTGGTAAAAGTGGGATGGACTCACTGAAATTTATCTAAAACTGAGTTTAAGCGGGATGCCTGGGTGGCTCAGTGGTTGAGCATCTGCCTTTGGCTCAGGGCTTGATCCCCGGGGTCCCAGGATCAAGTCCCACATCAGGCTCCCTGTAGGAAAATCTGCTTCTCCTCTGCCTATGTCTCTGCCTCTCTCTCTCTCTCTCTCTCTCTCTCTCTCTCTCTGTATTTCATGAATAAATAAAATCTTTTTTTTAATAATAAAAAATAAAATAAATAAAACTGAGTTTAAGGGCTACTTATGGGTTTTGTTTATTTTTAGGGGTGTCTCATTGCATCTGTCATTTCTCAGGTTGTTTTCTGCGTGGAAGACCATAACTTCTCAGGATTAGCCATTTCTTTTTCCCGTCCTCCTCTGACTTTACTATCATTTTCGGTCTTCTGTGCTTGCCATTTTTTCTCCAATTTCTCTGACCTCATGGTCATTCTTTTATCTCTGCATTTATCATACACTCAGCCGCATTTGTATAGATATTTGAAGGTGTTTCTTGTAAGAAAAACAAATGCTTCCACCTGTTACTTCACTTGGCCCAACAATTCTGTGAGTTTGGGATTGTCTGCTCCCATTTCACCAAAGGGAGAACTGAGGCTTTCCCAAGCTCACACAGTAAGCAACTTGCAGACCAGTACTTGGACAGATTCTAAATTTCACCCTCTCTATAATACATCCAGGGCTTCTGTGGAAGTTCTGTTGCTAGTTTCTGGGCATGAACACATTTGGAGGGAAAATTGTTTTTTCTGCCATTGTTCTCTTAGCAACTGTGTGTCCTGGGAAGCTGGACAGTGGGTTAAAATAGTAGAGATGGTGACTAAGTTATTTTGCCCTCTTTCCCTAGTTCCTTAGTTTGAAAAGCCCACCTTTCTTCCATGCCGCCACTTTTTCCTCTCTTTGATACAACTCAGATCTGCTCAAAAGATCCAGAAATTCCAAAGGTCAGAATAAGGGATACATTGTAGCCTGCTGGCCTGAATATTGAGAAAATTGTTGTCAATTGTGTTTGTTTCTTAATTTAATCAAATATCCTTCCATTAAGTGTGAATGAGTTTTATTTATAATAGCAAACAATGTATTATTTTCTTTCTGAAGTATTCTGCTTTAGAAACGAATAATTGTATTTTCTATGATAATTTTAGTGGCCTAAAGGAGGCTCAGCATCTGAAAACCAGCTTTTCAGTCCTGAAGACATTAAAAGCAGAGGATGGAAGGACTGTTGAGGAAGCTTCTAGGGCTCTCTGCCCATGTCTAATGCTTGTAACCTCTTCTGTTTGAAGGGTCAACAGTTGAGTCCCTCTGTGATGACCTTGTCTCTGTGCTCACTGTTCTGTGTGAGAAGCTGCAAGCCGCCATCAAGTAAGTGCCTTCAACATTGGTGTTCTTATTCACCAGTGGTCTGTTTCTGAGAACTTTTGTCTACAGCCTCACCTAAAACTGCAGATTATAAGAACAATGGTTCCCCCATTGGTATTCACCTGTCACTCCTAAGAAATATATTCAGTGACTTTGGGCAAGCTTACTTTACTAAATACGATGACTGAAGGATATAATTTTCTCATGAGAAATGGGAAAACAATAGTTTACAAAGACTTACTTACTTACAAAGTAGAATAGTTGATGTGACAAAGCTAGTTGATGTAACCCAGGCACGTCCCAGTTGTATGACTCAAAATGAGTCTTCACACTGACCTCTGTTGAATGTCAGGGACAGACTCCATGGTCTTTCTATATTTCTTCTAACATTTCCCAAGCCTGTGAATTCACGTGCATATTTTTGAAAAGAACACATTATTCTAACTTTTATATAATATACTCATTTTTTACATGCCAGTTTAATCATTGATATTAGATCATATAGATGTTGTCCACTGCTCCAACTTTCTATACAGTAAGTTAACTTGTTAATTTATGCATCTATAATAAAGTCAAATCATGAAAGAACTAGACTTTCCAAGATGAAATGAAGAGTCTCTACCAGCTACATACATAGTTAATTGCAAAATTCTGTAACACAATAAGATTCTGAAATGCCCTTTGAGTCATGAAAGACACTATAATTTACTATGAACTAGAATATTTGATAAATTATAAAACTTCTATTTATAAATTTTATATATAGTAATAAGTTGGAAGATAGTCTAGTTGAAACATTAATGAGGTCTCTCACTTTGCTGGAAAAATTGTGGAAACTTATTGGGTTTTTGTTTCTTCTTAAATAAACTTAGGGGTCTTTAAAGCTAAGCTTAGAATGACTCAAAGTTTTTGCCCAATAGTTTCTATATCAGATGATCTAATCCATCACTCCTCTAGGTTACCTGCACATTTTGACCAAATTAAGCTCCCTTCATATTAGGCACTTAAAAAATGAGTTCTATTTAATCCATAGATAGTGTAAGCCAAAAAGAAAAGCACTTCTTCCATAGCCCCACCTCAAGTTTCTCTCACCCCTGCACCCTAAGCAGAACATTGTTTTTCCTCAGAATGGATATGTCAAAAAGCGGTTGGCATGTGTAGTTGGCTTCCCCTGTACTCTGCTCAGTTTATATATTCACTCTACCCATCTATGACCAGGGTATAGATTTCTTCTAGTGCTCACTCCTCCCCAGCCCTGCCTAGTTTCTCTCCTTCATAGCAGAGCCAGCTGTTATATTAGAGCTGAGGGATGTTTTTCATTGGCTTTTTATCCTAAGATATAATCATGTATAGTGTTTAATCACTATTGGTTCAACTACATTATCATCATTTCATTAGCTGGGTAAAACCTCTGTTTTGCTCCTTACTAGCTCTTGACTTTGGGCAGAGCTCTCAACCACTATAAACTTATGTATCCTATAAAATAATTAACATTTATTATTGTTTTATGTCATATAATACTAGTGATATAAAATATATTAGGGGTTTTTTGTAAGAATCAAATGAGAAAATTTACTTAAGAGATAGTTGATTCCCAATAGCCAAAGATTACCTGAGGCTGAGAGAATTTGGTTTATGAACTTGTAATAGTGAGGGACTCTGTACACTATAGGGAGCCAAGGGTGTCCAGTAAAAAGATGTTAGAAGGGATTGTCCTAGGGATCCCTGGGTGGCGCAGCGGTTTAGCGCCTGCCTTTGGCCCGGGGCGCGATCCTGGAGACCCGGGATCGAGTCCCACATCGGGCTCCCGGTGCATGGAGCCTGCTTCTCCCTCTGCCTGTGTCTCTGCCTCTCCCTCTCTCTCTGTGACTATCATAAATAAATAAAAATTAAAAAAAAAAGAAGGGATTGTCCTAGATTTGAACCAGAGCGAGGTGATTTATTAGAGTGGGTGACCCGAACTTAGGATCTGTTCAAGGATTGCGTGCTGTCGGAAAGTAGGGGCCTTCCTGGTATGGGACATCTTAATTTTTATTTAAATGATGGCAGGAACAGATGGGAGCTGTCATCATAGAAGAAACAGCAGTCATTCACAGGGAAGGATGATATTTGGTCATTTCTGTGGTTGTACAGGATTCCTTTTTTAAATCTTTGTTCAGGCCTATTTTTGGATTGGCTTTCATATTGTTCTGTCACCATTGTGGAGAGTCCTCATCTGACTCCAATATTCTGTGAAGTTGTTTGTGTTCACCAGGGGAACACCACAGCTAGCTGGTAGCAACAAGGCAGTTGCCAGCTGTCAAAGATGCTCCTGTTCCCTCCTCAGATCTTAGCGTTATCAGGGAATAAAACACAGACCATCAGAACTTTGAAAAATATAAAGGCTATGTTCATTACTTTGCAGGCAAGGGAGAAAAATAAGCTATACATTTTTTTTCCTGAGTAGTTTGCTAAAAGAAAACTAAGATATTAAGTGCTAGAAAAGCTCAAGGTACTTATGCTATTAATAATTGAAAACTAGCCACCAAGATAAGTCAGAACAATTCTGTAGGTCTATGAATGGTGGATTGAAAACATACCATCGTTCACTGGTCAGGAAAGTCTTCAGCTAGGTCCAGTAAGGGCTTCAAGTTCCATGGCTCTCTAAAACCTGGATGTCTCTAACATCAGCTGTAGGGACCGCTATCTGTAGAGTGACCATAAGACCTGGTATACCTGGAACAGTCCAAGGGTATGCCTGTTGTAATTATTATAGACATTCAGTATTGGTATCTTTAGGAGGTTTTGGGATAAATGGAATTTTTTAACTGCTTAGTGCCTAACAATAAATATTTGATAAATATTAGCTCTCAAATGGTTTGTTTACTTTTAGAATTGTCAGTGCTAACTTTAGTTTATGATGCAGTTTGAGACATTGAACTTCTTATATCAGACATTTGTAGATCATTAGGAAAATACATTGCACAAACACTGCAAATGCATATGTGCAGATATTACAGACTAAAGGTCATAAATGTGTATCAGTCACTGGGGGGGGGGGAACATTTCCAAACCATATGACTTGGGAATAGGCTTTAAATGAGAAAAGTAATTCATGTGACACATACATGTTTTTCTAGGATTTCTCATTGGGCTGTGGCTCAAAGATAGCTTTAGACATGTTGTCACAGAGCTTACTGGTTTTTATAGGATTTTATAGAGCTTGGTTTTTCAGTGCAATTCTCCAGTTATGCTTCTGTCTTTAGAGATTCTTTACCATGTTTGAGTATGGTCTTTCCCACCATGATTCCATTACCCTGAGATGGGTGTTCTGTGGCCAAGGGAGCTGGGGTGTAGCATGCTTAGTGAAGCTTAAATAGGAGACCTGTAAGGCCACCTGGTCAGGTGGACCCAAGCTCTTGGCTGCTTTCAATCTGGTGATTCTCTTTATTCTTCTTGTTGAGTTTTCACATCTTTTACAATTTCAGATTTACTGCCTGAAATCCTTTAATTTCTATTAGCTAAATTTGATACTTCTCCCACCTTCTAAATATCTTCTTCCTCTGAAGTCACACTATGGTCAGTACTTTCCCTCAGTGGTCATTTCCAAAAATCAGTGCCCGCATACCTCATAGGGCTTTTGCTCTGTAAGGGTGTGTATTCATGATATATTTAGTCTCTGGGAAGGATTCACAGAGTGCATCCAGGTATGCAGAATAACTCACATGCCTTAGAGATGTGTTATTAATAGAACATGATGTTTTTTAAATCCAATGGTTTTTGGAAGGCTAATTGGGCTCAGAAAGCTATTCATTCATTCTCTGCCTATTGGTCTCCTATAAGCCTCTCCCCACTGCCCTCTCCTCCCAGTGCTGAATGGCAGAGAGGAGTGTACACCAAAGCATTCTCAGCAGCAATGAGGCAAGGCCAGGTGTTCGCATCATGTTTTTAGTTTCATTCCACTTCTCTCACAATTACTTAACCCCCTCTCTCCTTTTCTACCTAAATTTCAATTGTCTCAAAGAGAGATAAAATGATCCATAATTAAACAGAATTCCAGGAACTCCAGAAATCCAGAATGTGCTGTCACATTGCAGTCAGTCACCTTGCCAGTATGAGAGCTGCTTAGCCTTCCCCGCCCGCTGGTCCACTCACAGCAGTTCTTCTCCATGGATCTTGAGCTCAGAGATGAGCAGAGAATGAACCCAGCAGCTTACTCAACCTACCAACCATGAAATGCTCAAGTGGAACACCAGGCCAAGGGGACCACAATCCTCCTAAGTAGGCAGATTTTTTTTCCTCATGTGTTTTGAAGGAGTTGGCTGGTTTCTTGGCTTCTTTCTACTCTGTGCTTTTCATGTATTTGTTTGTCTACAGTCAGACAAATAAGAACCACACACATGGTGCATGTGCATATATGTATCTAGTAAGGGGCATGTGTGGAAGTTGCTTACATTTCAAACAGCTCCTTTAAATGACAACTCATGCAAGGCTATGAGCACCCATTTTTCCAGACCGCTGCAGCCCACAGAAAAGCTACTGCCTTTGGTCTCCAAGGAGACTCTCAAGCCTGTGATCTTGGCAATGCATCCTCTCTGAAATCAGGTCCGATGGCTTGGGGTTGCAATATTGCTGTGGCACACTTTGCAGATACTTGTAGAAACCTTGACTTCTCAGAACTTTTCTGTGGGTGTATTTCTGGTTTCAGAAATTAAGAATCTTTATTGTTTAAAGTTCTCATTTTCTGGTGCTAGACTGACAATTTGAAAGGTATATATTTTTGAACTGGGGCATTTAATAATTATTTTTCTTAATAATGAGTCCAGTGAGATAACAGAGAAGGTCCTTTCAGAACTTTTTCAAAACGTGGCTTATTGGTGATATGACCCTTCTGTTTTGCCTTCTCCAATCATTTCTACAGCCTCCAGAATGATTATTCTATAACATGAATTTGGTCCTGACATTCTCTTACCTGCAGAATAGAGTTCAGACAAGTCCTCCCAGACCCTTCCTAATCTGGCCCCTGGTTCCACCTCTTGTTGATGGTATCCTCACACTCTGCTCCAACCACAGACCACCACCACCCTCTCCCAACACTGCCATGCAAGTCTCCCACTTTAGGTCTCCGTGCAGATGCCTTTTCTTTTAGAAATTCTTTCTGGGTCTTTCTGAGGATTAGATGCCACTTCCATATGCTCTCATCAAACCTTGTGTTAAATTATTTATTTGTACCAGTTACTACACAATCTTTTACCTACCTGCTTCCTTGTTTCTCTAATCTCTGAAGAATGAAGACTGTGCTGTTTCTGGTCAGAAACAATGCCTTGTTCAAAAGTGTAGGGAAGCTTGTGGGTAGGAGTATCAAAACATAAAGTCTTTACCTGGCCCAGGATGGCTAAGTATGTCTTACCTTTCTTATTCTTCCTCCAACCACCACCTTCCTCTTGGCAAATAGTGATAATTTTTGTGGAAACTTAGCCTTGACCTACCTCTTCCTCCCCCCCTCAGTGGGTGCAGTAGAGTATATCCAAATATAGGCAGCATTCTCTTTTTCAGAATAATGGGCATTATTTGAATCATTGTACAGTTCTCTTTGGGCAAGGAAGACCATCATAGAGTATGAGTTAGCAAACTTTTTCTGTAAAAAGCTGCACACTGCCTCTGTTCCCTGTCCATTTCTGTTATTGGTTTACAACCATTTAAAAATGCAAACATTGTTTTTAGTTCATGGGCCAGGCAGGATTTGGCCTCTGGGCTGTAGCCTGCCAACTAGTTTTAGAACTTGATGTCAATTTTATAGAGACCTATTGCCAAGGAATCTAACATGACATGGCACTTAAACAAGGGACCCGCAGCCCCCCATTTTGCCATCCTTCATTTTGCATCCATGCAACCTTTCTCTGTTTGGCAGTTGTACGTGTGCAGCCTTCTGGGCCTTGGGACGGCCTGGGGTTAACTTTTCTCTTCTTCCTTCCTGTCTCCTCAAGTTTCTACTGTCCATTCTCCTTCTCCTGGGAGTTATTTGAACTGTTAAGGGCATTAAACTTCCTTTTGGCATTTACTTAGGAGAAAAGAGACACAATCAAAAATGATTTTTCAAAGCAAGTTCCTCCTTTTATGGAACGTTCCATTCCACACAGGATTTCTCACTGAATTCTCTTAAAAGTATTTATTACATATTTGTATAAATAAATATAACGGACATTAAATTCTTCCTTATTACTGTTGGTCACTTAACACCTACCTGGAGTTTAGTATTTCCTGATGCATTAGGCAGAAAACTTAGTCTGGGTATAAGAACGTGCACCCCAGAAAACTCTCTTGTTTTCACATCTGTCTCTATGGATTAATCTCATAATAATAACTCTGAGAAAAATAATTTGTTCATTGAACAACCATGTTGCCTTCAAAAAAGAAATTCAAATGCAATTTAGTAAAGTGTTGACCATTTAAAAGATAATGTAATTAATGGTCTTTTGAAAGGTTTTGACAGTTGAACACAAGAAAAGCTTTCTGGAATAAACTGTGGCATTTAATTGGTAATGATAAATCAGTATTTGTTCTGTAATGGTAGCAAATGTGCCATACTAATATAAGATGTTGATAACAGGATAAACCATGTGCAGAGGCGAGTTGAACACAGTAACTCTGTTCCATATTCAGTTTTTCTATAAATCTAAAACTGTTGCAAAAAGCAAAGTCTATTAATATTTTTTTAATCACCCAAACTATATTAGTGTACTAGGGCTGCCATAACAAAGTACCACAGACTGGGTGGCTTATAGAACAGAAATGTCTTGCCTCCCAGTTCTGGAGCCTGGAAGTCCAAGATCAGGATGTCAATAGAACTGATTCCTTCTCAGGGCTACAGGGCAGGATCCATTCCTTGCCGCTCTCCTTGACTTGTAGATGGCCATCTTCTCCTTATGTCATTTCCATTGTCTTTCCTCTGTGCATGTCTCTGTTTCCAATTTTTCCCGTTTTATGTGGCCATCAGACCTACCCTCGTGACCTGACTTTAACTTGATGACCTGGGTAAAAGACCTTGTCTCCAGTAAGGGCATGTTCTGAGATACCAGGGGTTCGGTCTTCAACAGAGGAATTTTCAGGGATGCAACTCAACCCATTATGCTAACTGTCCCTCCTCCCAAATTAACACCTGTCTAATGCCTAACATTCTTCCAAGTGTTTCCCACATACCAACTCTTTCATTTTGCCTTCACTTTGCATGAGTCTATGTGTTGGTTTTTTCCTGCAGTGACCAACAGCAGTTGCAGCTCCTATACTTGGAGTGCATCCTGTCCGTGCTCAGCAGTTCCTCCTCCTCCATGCATCTGCACAGAGGCTTCACAGACCTGATCTGGTAAGCAACCCCCAACGCCCCCCTACACCAACCCGAGGCTTCTCCCCTTCCAGCTGTACGTGTAGGTCCCTTCCCGTGGCATCTGCAGCCTACCAGTCACCCCATTTGTGCACGAATGCTTTAGAGAGAAGGCAGGGAGATTGCTTTGCTTGCATGCACTAGATCAAAATACAGAGAGGTTTATGATTATCTTAACAAAGTAGGCCTCAGAGGCCCTCTTGCATTTTGTTGACACCATAGGATCATGAGACTCAGGAAGGGAAAGATTATTTCTAGGTTATTCATTTATCTCAAAAGAGTACAAAGACACCAGAAAGTTGCATAGGGGGCAAGAGCTAGTAAGTGTTATTCTTAGCTCTTCCCTGATACTTTCTTCATCTCAACCTGAAGACTAGTCGCTTAATCATAGCCAGAGATTCACACAAGTGACAGGGCCTGCAGGCAGCCAGCTAGTTGCTCTGGGTTCCTGGGCTTTTTGACAGGGAGGAAGTCCAATGATATGTGACAGTGTGTGTGTCAGAATTTTAAATTAACTTCTCAAATTAGAAGTAGAAATAATTTAGTTACTTATAGTAGAATGAAACTTTCTAACTAAGCCATTTATCACTGTGAGTCTGTTTCTTTACATAAAATGGTTTCTGAATACTTGTCTTGATATTTTAGTTAATTCTGCCTTGTGTTATGAGAAAAAGTATTCTGTTCATATATGCAGGAGTGATGAAGAGACATGGAAACCTGAGGGAAGGATGGAGCGAAAAGGAGGAGCAGTAAAGAACCTAACTCTTATTAGTCATTTTTTGTGGCATCTGCTATTTACCCTCAGGATTGTATTCACATTTTATCACTTTGACTTGTAGCAGACATTTTTTTCTCCTGTGTCTTCCCAGGAAAAACCTGTGCCCAGCTCTCATCGTGATCCTGGGGAATCCAATTCATGATAAAAGCATCACCTCTGCTCACAGCAGCAGCACTGGTTCTGGCATCGAGTCCGACTCTGCATCTCCAGGAGTTTCTGACCATGGCCGGGGGTCGGGCTGCTCCTCCACTGCGCCAGCTCTGAGCGGGCCTGTGGCTCGGACCATTTATTACATCGCGGCCGAGCTGGTCCGGCTGGTAGGGTCAGTGGACTCCATGAAGCCCGTGCTTCAGTCCCTCTACCACCGAGTGCTGCTTTATCCCCCACCCCAGCACCGGGTGGAAGCCATCAAAATCATGAAGGAGGTAAGGGGGCGCTAAGGAATGCCAGTGTGCTTGCCAGGAGGTGGGGGGGTCGTATCCAAACACGGTGTCTTGCCTACAGGAAGCACTCAGAAAATTCCGCCAATCGCTTGCCGAAACTTGTTTGCTACCACATGGTATCCAGTAACTGGCAGTATCTTTAGGGCTGGGATGTGTTGGGAGCCTAGGTGAGGAGAAGTTGATTGGTATTCACTGATGCAAAGTCATTGATAACTTAAGCTGCAGGCATCGGACTGGGCCCCAGTCTGATTTCCTTCTGTTCCCTTAGGTACTGTTTATGCAGATATTGTGTTTGCTCCCCTTTGCCAAAATTGGATTTCAGAGTGATTCCATACTCAGGTTGTACATCGTCCAATAAAAAAAAAAAAATCATGACTAATCTCTGACTAGTAAAAGAATTCCCTTTGCCCCATCCATTCTTAGGCCCTCATATCCCAAACATCATGACCCCTGTGAGAAAGTAGTTTCCCAGCTTATCACAGCTATCCTAGTGTGCTCTTTCATGGTTTTGAGGAGGTACTTCAGGTAAGAATTTCTCTGCTTTCTTTCAAATAACCAGAAAAAAAAGTGGATCACATTTTTGTATTTGTGAACTTGCCTTTGTTTTTGGTACCTATGCTCAAACAATAACAAACCCAGAGTAACAAAATTCCCTTGTTGATGTTTCATTTAAGTAGTATTTGCTACTCATCGGTTTTTCAGAAGCTTAATTTGAAATGCCTCTTCATATTCTTTTAGTAAGATTTGACTGTAATGAACAATGGCAAGTTCTGACTCAACATTTCTAGAAATGAAGGAGTGATCCATATTTAATTGCTGTTTAAGAAAATCTATGAGTACACAATAATAACCTTCTTTTTTCTTACCTTCTATATGCCCAGCACTTCACATATATTATCTTTAATAGTCTTAATAGCTCTTTGATGTTGTATTTCAATTTGTACCAGTGAAGACTACTATTTTTTCCCCATGGCAGCTTCAGGCAATGAGGAAAGGGTAGGGTAGGCTTTAATAACCGGTTGCTCCTAGGTTGGTGAACCCAATACAGCTTTGGAGACAAGTGAGACTAGACTAGTTTGTCACCACTCAAGACAGCAGTGGCCCTCTCTTGGCTCTACCCTTGTTAAGCATATAACTGGGAAGCAAGATGGGCTTTCTCTGAATAGGCAGATCTTCAAGGAGAAGAAAGAGGAAGGGACTGGCTACACATGCTCAGCTCCTTCTAAATCTACCAGTCAGATGAGACACACACCACCACCCCACATCAGAAGGAAGGGAGAGAAAGAGAGGAGAAAGGTCCAGAACCATATTCCACTGGCTGTTTCTCCCCATAGAGATCTGACACCAGGAAAAAGGAATTTTCCTTCCCACAAAGAAACTAAGGTTCCAAAGGGTCATATGATTTGCCCAAGGTCACAGAAAAAGAGAAAGGGTGTGAACCCTGGTCCATCTATCCTGAAACCCATCACTTTTTCCTACAACACACTTACTACTGTACTTAACTTTGATATTGCAATGCAGATGATTCTAGGAGCCCCTTTCCATGCTGGCTCAGCTACCCCTTCATGAGCCTGAGTTGAAGAGTCAGAGTTCGGATCCTCTGTCTACCACTCCCCAGCAAGGTTGTAGTAGCCAAATCATTTAATTCTGAACTTATAATTTTTCATCTGTACAAACTAGTAGTATTTCAAAGGTTCAAAATGCAATAAAGTTGTATAAATACACCATATGTATAAAGTGCTAGACAAATATTTGGCATGATTATTGCTATCCTAAGGAAAGGATAAAATATGTGGAGGCTGAAAATAGCTGGTCCTCATGACCTGCTACCCAGAGTAGTGCACCCATTCTTGCTCAGCTCTTTGTCTATTTGCCGTCTAGTTTCTTCCTTTTGACTTTCTGAATTTAGGCTTATAAATCATCACTGTTAACAGTTTTTTTCAGGCTCTACTAGCTCTTGTTGCCTCTTTCATCAAGTCTGAATTATGCTGCCCAGTTTCTAGATCCTTCTCTCATCATTCTCATTTCCCAGGATCATCCTCATTCCATTTGACTGACTCTACTCCGTTCAGCTCCTACTTTCCTGCCTCTTTCCAGACTCCTCTCCTATCCCCATGGGCTATTCCACTTAGCAGGGTCAAGCATTTGATGATGATATGCTAGACAGAGCTTTCACTTCATGTTAATTTATTTACAAACCCTCTTAGTAAGATGATATCATGCCCAGTTTCTAGACAAGGAAGCTGAGGCTCCATGAGAAGTTATTTACCCAAAGTCCTTGTGAGTAACAGGGCTACCAGGTGAACCCAGATGTTCTGAGGACAGCTATGTCTGCTGGCAATATCCTCCTCCTTTATAAGTTCTACTTCTTTCAACCACCAGTTTTGCTCTTTAAATTCCATCATTTGGCAATTAATTATATGTCCCACCTCACTGATTGTTTCACAGTACTACTTGGTACAAACTTCTTGTCTCCTCAGATGTTTTTTATATTGATTTTGTATGTCCCACCCCCTTCCCACCCCAGTATCTAACACTGCAGTGCTTGAATTAGAATACGTGCTCAATGAATTTTGACTGAATGGGAGATGGACTTGAAGACAGAATATCTGCAAAGAGGGTGTTTTTGTGAGCAGCAGCAACCTTTCTTTCTCACTCCGAATTGACCAGCACTGAGGTTGTGGCTGCCCATGGTAGATCTACTCAATACCTGCATGCTGGGACTCCTGGGTGTCTCAGTGGCCTGCCTTCAGCTCAGGGCCTCATGCCAGGATCTAGGGATCAAGTCCCGCATCAAGCTCTCTGCAAGGAGCCTGCTTCTCCTTCTGCCTATGTCTCTCTCTCTCTGTCTCTCATGAATAAATAAATCTTTAAAAAAAAAATACCTGCATACTGAGTAAATACATTGCATATGGGGCACATAGGTGTCTAAATGTATTTTAAATTATAACTTATTTAGCACTGTGTAGGAAATTTGTTTTGTTTTCCCCTTTTTCATAGATTTTTCTAGCTTCCCAAAATTATTTTACAGGGCAAGGCTGCAATTAGACACCAGCATATGAATAGCATTTGCAGGTGATGCTGCCCCATGGAGTCCAGAAGACTGTTGTGGGCCAGGTTACTCCACTCACTATGACAACCAATAAATTGGGAAGCTTGGTAACCTGGAAACCGGAATGTGCCATCTACGCACACAAAGAAACCACTGGGCACCGAGGATATTTGTTTAGCCTTTCATAGTTGGAACGCATGATGTGTTATTTCCTTGTTCTCTTTGTGATTTGTCACTCTCCCATGCGTGCTGTGTGCCTATTCATCAAAGAGAGACAGGACAACATTTTGTTTTTCAAATGACATTCTCTTTTCTTTTCCACTTTCCCAAAATATGAGCAGTAATCAAAAGTTCACCTTGCTTCCTTTCTTCTCTCCCATGGTTCAGCTTCAGAAGGAGTTCCCTAGTCTTTAATCAGACCATGACACCCCCAGCCCCTGACAGCACATCCCTCATTCCCACTGGGAGAAGCTGAGATTCGACGTGTCTTGCCATTCTTCAAGTAGTTGTTGAGCGTTCTTCAGAAGCGTGATCACTCGTGTCCTTTCCTTCCAGATTTGGAAACAACTGAGAAATAAACCCAAGATTAATGTGGGAATTCAAATATGTCATCTGATTTACTACTGGTATAGTTAGATTCGAGAATGTAATGGGATCCCAAGACAAAGTAAGATTCTCCCCCAGCTATCCCTCTGAAATGCACCTGCCCTTCTAGCAAGAGATGGGACAGCTAGAGGCACTAAGACCCAGCCACTTAGCTTGGATGCAGGGCAGGCTGGTGGCAAGATAGAGGGTGGGGGAGGAGAGGGAAGAGGAGGCCAGGGGTGGGAGAGGGGGGAAAGGGAAAGAGTGGAGAGCGGGAAACTTGACTCTTTCAATGTCAAAAAAATAGAACATGGAGAGAAAAGTGGAAACTTCATTGCTATACCTCCAAGAGAGTAGAAGTTCCCAATTTCTGGGGTACAAAAGAAATGTGGCAGGAGGAAAGGAAAGAAGAGTGCCCCTTAAGATGTAAATTTTTCTAGTTAATATACCTTTTTCTATGGGTATAAATTACTTTGAAAATAATGGACAGAGGCACCTGGGTGCCTCAGTGTTTGAGCTTTTGCCTTCAGCTCAGGTCATGATCCTGGGATCAAGTCCCCCAATGGGCTCCCTGCAGGAAGCCTGCTTCTCCTTCTGCCTATGTCTCTGCCTCTCTCTGTGTGTGTCTCTCATAAATAAGTAAATAAAATCTTTAAAAAAAAATGAGCAGAGTGATAAGAAGGCTGCTCTAATACACTTAACCCAATCTTTTCCTGAATTTATTAGCCTCAAATTGAAATGTTCTGTAAAGATCTCTACCACATGGAGACAAAAATTAAATAGAATTAAACAGTCATGAAAATTCTATACATGAAAACTTGTAAGATGTAGCCAAAGCAGTATGTAGAAGGGTATTTATAGCTTAAAATGATTTTATTTAAAAGATTGGAAGCCTAAAACTAAGATTCCAATTCTCCAAGGTAGGTAGCTGGGAAAAGGAGAACAAATTAAATTCAATGAAAGGAGGAAAAATAGGAATGAAAGCAGAAAGTAATATGATAAAAAGCAAATATAGTGAAACAATAAATTGAAAAGTACCAGGGCTCTGAAAAGCCTAAGGAAATTTAACTCTTGATAAAAGCAATAAAACAAATCCATAATAGGTAAAAACAAGTAAATAGAAATAAGAATGCAAACATGCATGTAACTATAGATGTTATAAACACTAAAGAAATTTTAAAAAGGTATTAAGGCCACTGAGTCAGTAAATTTGAAAACTTAGATAAAATAGATAAATCCCTGGGAAATAACACAGCCTTTAACAAGCTGGCTCAAGAAGAAATTGAGGACCTACATAGTTCTAGAATCTTTAAAGAAATTGAATCAGTAGTTAAAAAAAATCTTT